CAAGTACGTCTTCCACTACCCCTTTTGGTGGAACATTCGACCTATCGGCTAGTTGGATTAAGACACCGGTTTCTTCTAGAGGGCCAAGGTTCAAAGATGTATTAAGTGTATAGGGGATCACGTTAATTGATGCCCCTAAGTCCAACATGTCCCTAGAAGAAATGGTGTCTCCTAGCTTGCATGGTATAGTGAACATGTCTGGGTCAGTGCATTTTGTGGATGTTTGTTTTTTGAAAAACTGCCGAGACATGTTCACTAACTTCAATTTTTTCTTTTTATTTTAAGTGACATGTCCTCTTGATTGTGCATAATTACTTTAAAATTTTGGCAAATCGAGGGCACCTTTTATTACATTAAGGAGTGGAATATTTACCTCACATTTTGCAAAAGTCTCATACATATCCGCATTTCTCTCCTACTTCCTTGTCTCTTTGAGTGCTTCAGAGAATGGGGTAGTGGTTCATATGATGACAAGGGTGGACTCAGTGTGGTTGTATCTCCCGGTTGATCTTCCTCTTTGACCTCAACCACCTCTTCTTCAGCATTCTTCCTTTGGACCTCTCTTGCAATTCTTTTCCACTTCTCAACATGATCGCGTTAACATGTTGTTATGGATTTTTTCCGTTTGAGAAGGGAGTTTTCCCGAATCTTTTGCTTCAAGCCTGCTCATGGCTGCGACTATTTGACTCACTTGAGTTTCCAAGTTTAAAAAGCAAAACTTGTTCTCATTTTAGAATTGCACCATGTTTTGCTGCATGGTAGTCATGTTGCTAGCAAGAGCTCGAACCATGTGCTCCGTGGACATGTTAGAGTTGGAGTTTTGGCCTTGGTGATTTGGGAAAGATTGTTTGGATTGTTGAAAGGGATGATTTTGTTGTTGTTGAGGGTTTCCATATCTCAAATTGGGATGATCCCTCCATCCGGGTTGTAAGTATTAGAGTGTGGATCGTACCTTTGATGTCCTTAGAAACCAAGGTGTTGACTTGCTCTTCTTGGAAAGTTGGGCAAGAATCGGTTCGATGTCCGGGTAATGCGCAAGTGCTACATGCTTTCACTTCTTGAGTGTTTGAACCCTAGATAAACTTCTTCATGAGTAATGTCAAGCTTAAAACTTGATTTTCCAAAGTAGATGTGCTAGATTCCGCCGCAAGAACTTTTCGAGTTGATAATTTACGGCCAAATTTCCGTGAGTTCTAGGCCAACTCTGAGATCAAACTCGATGTTTGTGAAGGAGTTTTGTTAACAATGTCTCCTCCACAAGCGACATTCACCATTCTTCTATCATCATCAACAATACCATCATAAAAGTAGAGTATGGGGTCTTGCTCCGTGTACCCATGGTATGGGCAACTAGCACACAACTTTTTGAATTGCTCCCAATATTCATATAATGACTCATCATCTTTATGATCAATGTTGTTTATTTGTTTTTTTCAATGATGATGAGACGGAGGCGAGGTAGTACCTTTCTAGGAAGCACTTCTTCATTGTCGTCCATGTATCTATACTCCTCGAAGGGAGATAGAATAATCAAGCCTTAGTTGTGTCCTTCTGTGAGAATGGATAGGCTCTTAGCTTGATCTGTTCTTCAATAACATTATTCGGTTTCATACTAGTGCAAATTAAACTATATGAAACTCCGAAAGATATTTGTTCGGGTCCTCGCCTTGTACACCATGGAAGGAAGTGAGTAGATGAATGAGGCCTGATTTTAATTCAAACTAACATCCTCATTTAGAGTAGGAAAGGTGATACATAAAGATTGTTGATTGATGTTTGGAGTTGTGAGCTTTCTCAAGGTTCTTGTCTCGAGAGCCATGTGTATGGACTCTTCGGATTCGCTAGAGCTAGAACTAGTGTGTGATGATTCCTCCGAGGGTGTGTGTGTGAAAATAAAATTCGCAACCTCATGAAGGCTTGTTCTATTTCTGGATTTGATTGGTAAATAATCTCGTTTATAGAATGGGTTTTTACCATATACTCATGTCTCAGAAAATAGAAAAGTAAGAACTCTTTATATTTTTATTAATTAATTATATTATTTTATTTTTCTTGAAATAAAATAAAATAAAAATAAAAATTATTGTCTTTCCCTGGCAACGGCGCCAAATTTGACGGCACTAAAGTCGTTGTGTGCCGCAAAATAAATACAATACTTGCACTAATACTGTAGTATAACGTAGTAAAGTTCGTATCCGCAGGGAAAAGATATTTGTCTTTTAATGAAATAGTAACAAGGGGGTTTTAAGATTGATTTGATTTAATTAATTTAACTAAGATGAACGACTTATGTGTTTTAGTTCAATAGGGATGAAGACTTTGTTTTGCTTATGTCTACTTAATGAAATGTTCGTCAATCCCGGTTATATCTTTAACTATTTTCCTCTCGAATACTCAATCGTGGAGTATCTCCAATTCATCGAGGGTAGTTATTAATAACGAGACGCGTTCATTAATAAAACTTATTATCAAGTCAACATAGAACGTGCGCCGTATATTGACCCGATAGTAGCAATAAAATTGAAGACAAAATAGATTGAGATTGATAACCTCAACACAAACGGTTTATTTGTTTAATCAATATAATTAATTCCCCTTATATTATTAACCATGAGACACATGTGTTAATAATCCAAGTTTACTACCGTTGAAAAGATCGAACGATTAACAAGCGTCTTTGTCAATCGATTCTAGTAATAATTAATATATGAAACAAATCTAGTTGATCCTTTAAGTAATGCTCAAATATTAATATGAAATATGAATGGGAATATAATTAATATTCAAGGAAGATGATTAAAGAAAATAATTCACAACTTACAAATCATAAGCTTCAATGTAGCAAAACCAAGATGGAAGGGTTTAGCTCCTCATTTGGAGACTAAACATACTAGAAAATATAAAGGAAATTCTTTTATAAACTGAGCTTAGAGGTATATATGAATTCCGTAATCAAATGGGTAGATAAAGGGGTGTATTTATAGGTGTTTGGAGGTGGCAACGTCATTTACCCGATCTAGTATATTGATTTACCCGATCGGGTATCTTTAGTAACTACTCGAGACCTTCATAAATCACATCATACCCGATCGGGTAAATGGTTTACCCGATCTGGTAAAAGACAAATGTTTGTCAAATCTTTGCCTTGCACGTTTAATTGCCTCCCAATCAGATTTGATCTTCAGGTCAAGTCAATACTCGATCGAGTATATGATTTACCCGACCGGGTATTTGACCATTTTCCAAATTTTCACTTTATATTGTTCCCTTGCACTTTCCTTAACCATCCCAGGATTCTTTTGATGATCTTTACCTAGTTTAAGCTCAAAAAAATCATAATCTAAACAAATTTCAAACAACTAGGAAAAATAGAGTATTACACCAAAGGGTGTGGTCCCGGTGAGAACACTTCTTAACATGAGAAATGAGAACGCTCCAAAATGATGCACTTTATCATTAACTAAAATGCACATTTATAGTTAAAGTAATACAAAATTCTAATGTGCACTTTTACGTGTAAACTTTCGCACACTTGAGATGCACATTTTCCAATTTAAGGTTCATTGGTTATCTATTCAAAAAGGTAGTTTTTCCATTTCTAAGAACATGGGAGTGTACGGAGGTCACATTTTGGGAATTTCTTTATTTAAGTAACTTTTTTGTCATTTGAACTCTTAATAGTAATATACATAAAAAAAAGGCCTTTTTATATGCAAATTTCTGTTTACTCTATGCACAATGCCAAAATGCAATGCTCCAGAATCATTTTCATTTCTCACGTTAAGAAGTATTCTCATTTCATCCTGACTCTTACACTAAAAGTGTGTAATTTCCCACACATTAACAAATAAAACTAGTTAAAATTACAAACATAAACAAACACAATTCTATACTATGAATATACATGAAAATTCATGTCCAGAATTTCTTGACAGAGGCGTCGTCCGGACACCTAGTTTTGAGGTACTTTCGGAATTTACCGGAGGATTATTAGCTTCTAAATGTGTGTATGGGGTGTGATTTCAATGAGAACACTCTTTAACGTGAGAAATGAGAACACTCCAAAACGATGCACTATACTTTATCGTTCACGAAAATGCACATTTATAATTAAGGTAATGCAAAATTGAAATATGCACATTTACGTTTAAACTTTTGTACAATTGAAATGCACATTTTCCATTTTTATATGCATATTTCTATTTTACGTGATGCACGATACTCAAATTCAACGCTCCAAAATCATTCTCATTTCTCTTACAAGATCATATTCTCATTTAATCCTTACTCTCTATGTATGTGTGTGTGTGTACATTTAGGCAGTAATACATTAATGATCGTTTATTTATAGAGAAAAGTACCCTAGGTATGGCGTCAAGTGTGCACTTATCCAATATGAAAAAGAACTATAAATTCCTAACATTTTTATAATGTCGTTCCATAATTCTGACGTGAAGTGCAGTAACGCCGTTATAAAGTACTCCCTCCGTCCCATAATTATCTTCATTCTTTCCTTTTTGGTCCGTCCCAAATTTATCTCCTCTTTCCCTTTTTAGCAAAGGATTTGTGGTTCACAACCATTCTTACACATTTCTCTCTCCTCTGCACAACTCTCCACCACACATTTCCCACTTTCTTAATCTCCGTGCCCAGTCAAAACCGAAGTTAATTCTGGGACGGAGGGAGTACATTATATTTAATTAGATGCAAAAACTAAAGTTATCAAATCTTAAAATGAAAAAAAAAACGATAAATTTATTATAACATTTTCGTAATGCTTTAAAAAACATTTTTGTAACATGACATAAAGTGCAGCAAATGTCGTGCAGTGATTAACGCTTTCATAAAGTGCAATATTTTTAGACGAAAGTAGTGCAAAATACACTTTTGTAATAAGAGTATTGTCGTCCTTCAATATCTTAATATGACGAGAATTTACCATATTTATATTGGCCGGCCTTTGGGTGTGCTTTAATATATAATGAATGAAAGTGGATCAGGGAAAGCGGTCGACGTCGGACCGTCTACAAGAAACTGTGAGGTACGTGAAAGATTTGAAGGAAAGAGTGAAGAGATTTAGGGCAAGAAAAGAGGAGCTTGTGATGATGAAAGAAAGAGGAGGAGGCGATGTGTCGACAGTGGCAACTCATCATGATTCTTCTTCATCGCCGACGCCACTCCCTACCACAGCATCGTCGCCATCACTATTATCAAGCAGCAGCGGCAGCAACAGCAACATGGTCGGTGAGATGGGAGGAAGCAGAGTAGCGGTGAAGCCGTGCAAGGTAGGAGGAGTTGAGGTCACTCTCACCATTGCTCCTCCTGCCTCCGGACTCTCCCTCTCCACAGTACTTAAGCTTCTTGTCGCCCATGGGATGTCCATTCACATCTGCTCCTCCCTCAAACTTAATCATACCATCCTTCATACCATCCACGCTCAGGTAACCGACCTACTACCCGGCCTACTACGTTCCAAATGAAAGAGGCTTAAATAGAGAGTCCCGTTAGAATCAAGAGCTGCTCACTGGAACCGCCGTGCATGTGGAATTCACTGTTTGGAGGCGATTTTCCGGTGGAATTTTTTTATAATGTTTTTTAGCATGTTCTTATCAAATCTAGTTTATGTCCACCAAACTTTAGCTAAATATTCAATAGGGTAGTCAATCAAATGTTGAATTAAAAAACACTGTGTTGTTTATATGTATAATACGCGCAATGTATTTAAATTGTTTATTTATTTGTCTTCCCCATTGAAATTAAAGCTGAAATTTGATGGACATAAACCAAATTTGATGAAAAACATGCTCAAAACATTCATGAAAACTACCGGGAACCACCCCAAACAGTGAATTCTGCACGGCCGTTCCATTCAGGAGTTCCTGACTCGAAAGAAACTCTCTCTCTCTCTCTCTCTCTCTCTCTATATATATATATATATATATATATATAGGGTGCGGTTCCAATGAGAACGGTGCTTAATGTGAGAACGTGAGAACACTCACATTTAAGCCAATGTAATGCACAATAGAGCTCGTCCGATGCACATTTTGACTTTTCTGGAATCAAGCTTATATACATAATCACGGTGGCATTTTGGTAAATATTATGCTTAGCATAAAATAGTGCATTGGGCGAGCCTTATTGTGCATCACGTTGAGGTAAATGTGGTGTTCTCACGTTCTCACGTTAAGCATTGTTCTCATTTGATCTTTATTCTATATATATATATATATATATATATATATATATATATATATATATATATATATATATATATATATATATATGGCGCGGTTCCAATGAGAACGATGCTTAACGTGAGAATACTCACAATTAACACTCACAATTACACACAATAGAGCCCATCTGGTGCACAGTTTGACTTTGCTCAAAACAAGCCGGCCAATATAAATAATAACGGTGGCATTTTGGTAAATATTATGCCGAACACGAAAATGTGCATTGGGCGAGCCTCATTGTGCATCACATTGGGGTAAATGTGGTGTTCTCACGTTCTCACGTTAAATCTATATATATAGATTTAGGATCACGTTAAATCTATATATATAGATTTAGGATCAAATGAGAACAATGTTTAACGCGAGAACGTGAGAACACCACATTTACCCCAATGTGATGCACAATGAGGCTCGCCCAATGCACATTTTCGTGTTCGGCATAATAATTACCAAAATGCCACCGTTATTATTTATATTGGCTTGTTTTGAGCAAAGTCAAAATGTGCATCAGACGGGCTCTATTGTGTATCACGTTGGGTTAATTGTGAGTGCTCTCACGTTCTCACGTTAAGCATCGTTCCCATTGGAACCGCGCCCTACACACACACCAAATGAATTATTTGCGGTGAGTTCGAATCAACTTTTTGTTGAAATTTTGTGAGCATGTTCTCAATGAAGGATAGATTATGTTTACCAAATTTCAGTTTAAAATTCAATCGGGAAGTCAGATAAATAAATTATTGAAATATATATAATGCAATTTTTTCAATAGTTTATCTAACTAACTCCTCGTTTAAATTTTAATCTGAAATTTGGTTGATATAATTTACATTTAATGGAGAACATGCTCATAAAATTTCATGAAAACACCTCAAATGAAAGAGATCTAAAACTTGTAAATTTTAAGTCTACTATAGAGGAGTTTTCTCTTAAGATAGACTTAAAACTTACAAGTTTTATGTCTCTTTCATTTGAGATGTTTTCGTGTCGAATATTTTCATGAAATTTTATGAGCATGTTCTCCATCAAATGTAAATTATCTCCACTAAATTTCATATTAAAATTTAAACGAATAGTTAGTTTCAAAATCTTCCCTCCCCTCCTCACATACTTTCAAGTTCCAAACATGCCGTAAGTGTAGGGAGTCATGGGTTCAAAAACGAGCTGAGGAGTACTTTTTTATGGAAAAATTGATAGTAATAATCCCAACTATTGGCGGTCCGCTCATAATAATCCCAACTATTGATTATTACAGAATAATCCCAACTTTAGGGACCTTCCGCCAATAATGGTCCCTATGAATAAATTCTTGTAGTTTCTAAAGTGGATGGGGTGAGATATAACAAGTAATCCCTCTAAATAATCTCAACTTTTAATTTTTACGCTTAATTTCTATTTAAAATTCACTTTTTATAGAGGTAATATATGGTCATGGACCATTATTGGCGGATAGTCTATATAGTTGGGATTATACAAAAATAATCAATATTTGGGATTATTTTCAGCGGACCGGCAATAGTTGGGATTATTATTTTCAATTTTTCCTTTTTTTATTTCTAATCATTTTTTGAACAATTAATGTTGTAGGTGAGAGGAGGAAGAGCGATTGATCCATCTCAGCTGGAGCAGTATTTGTCGATCCTAATTCAAAATAATGATTATGAAGTTTTTTCAATTTAGAAATATTAAGGCCTTGTTTGGTAATCGGTTGTTAGTTGTTAGCTGTTAGTTGGTCATGTCAGTTGTTTGATCACAGCTGGTTGTGTTGGCTCTTTTGATTGGCTCGTTTTATTAGCTTGTTGTTAATAAATGTTTGGTAAAATTAGCTGTTATAAAACAGCTGTTTGAATGTAAAAAGACGCATAAGGACACAAGTGTATATATAATATTTGACTAATGCTAAGAGCATCTCCAATGCTACAATGTGCACGGTGCACATGTGGCATGAGAGATATAGACACAAAATATTGATTTTATGACATTTCTCTCTCCTTCTTTCCACGGTCTTATGTGTTTTTGGTAAGTTTTTGTCTGCAATGTCAACCATAATGTCTACATCTAGACATTGTGATTGACATTGTGAAGAAAAACTTACCAAAATGATGTAAGATCCTTTAAATAAAGAGAGAGATATTATATTTATTGTTTTTTAATTGGTTATTTCTCATGTCACGTATGCACCGTTAACGTTTTAGGGATGTAATTTGATTACTCCGTATTATTTGGGACCTTTGTTCCTGGTTCCTTTTATTTAGGAATGAAGGGGATCTGACATTTCTTTGTATATAGTAGGAACGGATGGAACTATAGAAGTGTCTTTCGACTTACAGCTAAGAAGTGATTTGAATATTGTAAAAATTACATAATTACTATATGATTAATATTTAATGAATTTTGTTAAAAAAGAATGAATTAACAGTTAATTGAGATTAGGCCATGAATATTACTCATATATCATCTCACCACACTAGTACCACAGTAACGTCATAGTGACCAATATCCCTTTGACCACCGTCACAATGCCCTGCCGCCCCACTAACTTGTTGTTCTCGTGACCAACACCTCAGTGACCAATGCCCCAGCGACCACCGCCGCCACAGTGACCACCGTCTCCGCCCTTCACCCTGACCACGTCGTAGCCGGTCACAGTGACTAATGTCATCGTCGCCGCCACTCCGGTCACAGTGACCACCACTCAGGTCACAGTGACCAACATCGGCCACCCACAATGACAAACACTGGTTAGCCACAATGACCAACACCGGCCGAGCACAGTGACCAACACTGACAGGCCATAGTCATCACTAATTCGAGTATTCGAACACTAAAAATGTTGGTTATCATAGTTACAGTTACAAATGTCTCTGATGACCGGTAGTTGCTCAATGACTCTGATCTCCAATAGTGACCTGACATCACGACACCCCTACCCCGGCTCGTCACCGAGAGCGCCGTCATCCCTAACATCCCTCCATGCAATTCGCTATTCCATTAGTCCCAAGTATCATTACTTCCCCCATGTACAAGACCATTGCCCACCTTACTCAACCTGAGCCAACGCCGCATGTGTTTACCCATAGCCGAAAAAACCTAGCTAGCCACACGCACACTAGCTATCACTATAGTTGGTCACCGCCGCCCTTGCAAATCAGACCGAATCGAGGATAGATGAATGAGAAAGAGAAAAAAGTTGAAGAAAGATCAAAAGAAGGGTTTCAAAAAAAAGATTAGCTTGGACGCCGACGTAGCTAGATTTGGCGAAGGCGACAGCAACTGCATCCTTTGTTGACGATGATGACCGCGACACAAGAGTGGAAATCGAAGTGATAAATGGCGATGGGAGCTGAAAAGATGGTTAACGATGATGATCAAAAATCGGAGTGGAGATGGGCGGTGATGGCAGTCGGTGACAGAAATTGGGTGAGCAGCTATGAGATTGCTACTACGACGAAAATAGATTAGGGTTCAAGCTTGAAATTTGGAATACATACATATTTATGACTAATGTTCTAAAACGCGTTAGCCGCTAGTCAGTGGTGACTGGTCGTCTAGCGCATAGCCCTCCTAGGCGGGCGCCTAGACGCCGACTAGGGCGCTTAGGCATTTCCCCTATTTTTACTTTACTTTTTCATTTCCTATGAATTTCAAAAATCTTTACTAATAATGTTATACTCCGTAATTTTTTGATGTGGGAATATGATAGTTAATTTTGAAGGAATAAAATGCTTATTGATCAAATGGTGTTTGAAGAAAAAATGGAAAAAATAAGTTGGGTCGAGAACAAATTTAGCCCGGACCGCCTAGCCATCGCCTATGTAACATCGTCCCCAAGGATGTTTACTTTTGCCAAATTATGTATTGAACCTTAAGAAATGAGTAATGAATTTTATGTATTGAACCTTAAGAAATGAGTAATGAATTTTACGTGGTTGTAAATTTTTGTCATTCCTTTTACGTGAATAGTATAATGCACGTGGGGCCCACACCAGGAGCGGGAGCCACCCGATATTTCCGAGACCAAATATTATATTCATCTAGGTCTACATAATATTTATATGATGGTATATACCCATGTTGGGCTATAGAAATGATGTAGAGTTTGCTAGTTGAGCAAACAAGGCCAATATACCAGTATCGACATACTGGCAGATAAAAGCCCATAATAAATTCCAGGGACCACTAAATTAAAGTTGGGGAATATATATTCATTCTAGAAGCCCAAAATAACTTGTATGGTGATATATAAATTTTTTTACCCTATAAAATGAAATTTAATTAAAACAATCCGGAAAATACAACTTTCAGGACCAAATGTACACTTGAGAACATAAAGGGATGACCTCCCACTTGAGTGGGGGCCATCCCATGTTTTGGTCTTCAAAACATGGAGAGCCTAAATTTCATCCAAGAAAATAAGGAAGAAGTTGATTGAGAGACAAATGGAAGGGGGGAGGGACCCTCTCCCACATTATTGTAAGAAGTGTCAAAAAGACATTCTCAATCACCCACAACCCATACACCTAGACCAACCCACCCAAAGAAGAGAGAAAAGATCTGAAAATACTCAATTTTCATCCACCATTTCCGCCCCTATGCTAAGGAGTCCACCATTAAAATCTATTAAAATTCATATGATTCTATGAAGTAGAACTTCATAGAATTCCATATGAATCACATGGAATCTGTACAATTCCATTAAAATCAATAGAATCTACAATCCTGTAAAATCATTTAAAATCTATGTTGGGGACACCTTCTTTAGTTACTATGGTTATAGATGTTACGAAAGCCACTACACATGACTAAGAGGTTATATTTTGTAAACAACCTTTATTTTAGTCATAAATATATAATTTCTTTATTGTTTATTTATGACTTGCATAATTAAAAACTGAACAATAAGAATTCTTATTACAGGTTGAACAAAGTAATGAATGATTTCCTTTCAAAAAAAAAAGTAATGAATGATTGGGTTTTAAACACATTTCTCTTAATTTGGTTCAATATAAATGTATTGATTGAGGCACATTTATTGGCAATAAATGCTCCATTAATGTAAAAAATCAAGACACACGTACTTATTGTATTAGAGGTAGGAGTATAGATTTCAAAGAATACGGATTTACATTTTTACCGTTCATTTAGGCGGCAATTTTGCCTCCAAGACTTATAGAAATTTTGCTACTTTATGTTATGTAAAGATAAAGATATATATGAAGGTCATTCTTCGACTAGTGTGAGTAACATATGAAGCACAATGCACTAACAAGTGATTCATATTAGACAAGTGATGATATAGTTGTGATTCCTTCTGCACGTTCTTTTCCTTCTCTAAAAAACACTTAATAGTGTAGCACCATAAAATCCCCTGAGCATTAGACAATCCAATGAAGGAGAACTTCTTCAAAATTAGAACGAGAATCTTGAACAAACACAAAACATTCGAATTTGTAATTCTATTAGGATTCGTCACGAACAAACTAGGTTTGGCATTCTCATGGAGGATCACGATGGTGTTAGGATTCCTGACAAGGATGAACCTAAGACCTACACTGAAGCAATATTTGATATTGATTCTAAGAGGTGGCGAGAAGCCATGAAATTGGAAATGGACTCAATGCATATCAATTAGGTATGGACCTTGGTTAACATGCATAAGGGAGTTAGACCTATTGGATGCAAATGAGTTATCAAAAAAAGTGATGTTGATGGCAGGGTGTAAATGTGCAAAGCTAATATAGTGATTAAAGGTTATAGTATAAGAGAAGGAATTGGCTATAGTGAGACCAATTCACCAGTTGGAAAACTCGCGTCTATTCATATTTTACTTGCAATAATTGCACATAATGATTATGAGATTTGGTAAATGGATGTCAAAATTGTGTTATCTAATGGAAATTTCAAGGAGTATACAAGGTGCAACTTGAAGCATTTGTATCCAAGTCAAATCCCGAATTAGTATGCAAATTGAAGAAATCCATTTATGGCTAAAGCAAGTTTCTAGGAGTTGGAATGTCTGCTTTGATGAAGCAATCAAATTGTTTGGCTTCATCAGAATCAATGAGGATGCTTGTGTGAGTACAAAGCGTAGTAAGGATAGAGTGGTCTTTATTGTCATATATGTTAATGAAATTTGGATCATAGGGTATGATATCCGCTCATTGAAATACGTGAAATGTCTTGTCCCAAATCATCTGACGAAAGATCCAAGTGAACTCTGTTATATCCTTGAGATTAAGATCTACAGAAACAGAGTTAATCGGACACTAGGTCTTTCACAATCCATGTATATTGACAAAATACTACGGTGAGACATGTGATATCATTATCTAAGAAGGATACTCCTTCGATTGATAATGAAATAAACACATGAAATGGATTTCATACGCTTCTGTTATTGGATTAATCATGTTTGTCATGATCTGTACAAGGCCAGATGTGGCTTATGTGCTCGGTATAGAAGGTCAATATCAAAATAATTCATGATTGATAACATTAGAGTGTTGATAACATTGTTCTTAAATATCTGATTACTCTTGACACTAGCTTCATGATTGATGAGTTTGATTATAATAATTCAAAAAATCAAGACATGTGTTCAATCTAAATAGGGCAATAGTTGACTAAAATAGTTCCACATTGTGAATTCGAAAAACTAAAATAAAATACATCGTTGCATCACATGCCGCTAAGGTAAGTGTTTAATTACGCAAGTTCCTCAAATAAATAGGTGTAGTTTCATGCGATAATAGTCTAAAAATTAATTATTGTGATAATACTGGACTACTGGTGTTAATGCACGAGCAGAGGAACTAAGATGCTACAAGAGGAATGGATATATGCCCAAATCCTATCATGTGATTTGAAACAAGTAACATGAGTAAGTAGTAATAGAACATATTCCCGAGAACAATTTGACCATCCTTTCATCAAACGTTCGAGATGCGAAAGACACACTCGAAATTTGGAGAAATTATGTGTTAGATGCATCGATGATTGACACTAAGAGAAGTGGAAGATATTAGTATATACTACATACTCCCTTCGTCCCAAATTATAAGACACTTTACGATTTACGATGTTTGACTGACGATAAGACAAATTGATCCCTGAGAACACTCAAATTAGTTTTAGAAAATAAATTTTACATTTTCAAAAATTACATTAGAACCGCTGCAAAGCTAGCAAAAAATAATTCAAATTTCATAAAATTTTGATATATAAAGTAAGAGATTAAGAGCAATTTGTGTTGACCAAGTGAATAAGAAAGATATCTTATAAAATGGGATTGAGGGAGTATATCTTAAAGAAAAACACTATTTAGAGATATACGTA